ATTGTTATAAAAAAAAATATATAAATAAACAATTTAATAATACTTTACCAGTTGACGCAATTTCATGTGCTATAGGATTGAAAATTTTTGAAACAACTTCTTTTAATTTCATACGGATTGTCTGCTGTAACAAAACTACGAGTCTTTTGAATTCATCATGCACTAAACATTGTCATTAAATAATACACCTGATATAAATTAACTGATCACTTTGTCTTTAGTTAGCCACACTATATATAAGAAATTATAGACCCAAGTTTTTTTTTTTTTTTTTTTTTTTTTTTAATAAACCATTGAAAATAAAAATTTTAATAATATTACTTAATTTACTACCCAGACTCAGAAAAATAACTCGGACTTATTGCTCTGACAATTTGAAGTCCATACGATGAAATTTATAATAATCCAATATTAGATATTTTTCAAGGTTTCCAAATAAGTAAGGCATTCCGATTTGTTTAATATATATGTAATTATGTTGATAGGTGCACCTTTGTGAGTTAATTTCAAAAATCACGATACCGATCAACTTTCCCACGGCAACGTGTGACCCATCAAAATATTCTCCCCAAAATCAAGAAACGAGTGCACACTCAACTTTTCTCGTCCCATCCGCTCTTCGACGCTTGCGCAACAATACTTAATGGCATTCCTCCACATTCTGCAAGTATTACATTCACAGCCACACTTAAGCATGTACATAATTCGTTCCATGTACAGTATTTATGTACACCCTGCACTCCTGATAATTCACTTCCCTGTGGCTGTACCGCGTAATGTAACTTTGGTACGTACATCATGTACTACTGTTCACCTAAAGAAAGAGCGGAAGCGCGAGAATCAAAAGTGCCATTGTTGACCGTTGCAATTCCAGTACGTACCGACTGTATATTATTAGCACGTGTGACCTAATTGAGAATCGTAAGACTCATGAGAAAGGAGTTTTTTTTTTTTTTTTTTCTACGCGGTCTGTCGGTATATACAAATTGTTTGGGATTGAAAACCCAACGGTTGTGGACTGTATGATTTGATTTACCGGTTGCGAGGGAAAAGAGTGGGAGCCAATTTGCTTGGGTTTATTGAAAGATTAACACTCACACCTTTTTATATATAACAAAATAATAAAGTATATTAACAGCAGAAATTACAACACTTGATGAGAAAAAATTGAAAAACTGTGGTAAATAATAAAATTACGTTTTATGTGCGCTAGTTTAAGGATATTGAACAAAGTTGAAGAACAGTTATTTTACTAATATAATTAACTGAAAATGATGTTGTTTGAGTCACGCGAGCAAATCACACAAGACATTTTCTTTTTCTATTTAAAATGATTTACTCGAGAAAATGTCTATACGTGGTTGGTGTACACAGTGACCACACTGTGGTTCAGTGGACGAGCGATCGGTGCGGACTGACTAAATGCTCACAGGCGAGCAGCCGCGAGCAGCCAAAGTAACTTAATCGTACGCACGCTATTGGTTACAAAATACTAAAGTTAATTGCTAACGCGCGAATAAATAAATTCTATATAGTTAATGTTTGTAATACTAATTTGATGTTGAACAATGTAGTACAAGAAAAACTACTTGTATGCTGTAAGTAGGTAATTAAAATTGCGGGAGGAATAAAAATTAATCTTTTGATTTTACCCCATGATGGGTTTAGCATGTTTCTAAACTTGCGGAAAAATCAGGGGAAAATTGCACGCCTGCCGCATGAATGCGATCACTTGGTTGTCATGCACTGCTCTTCGCTATACTTACCCTCGTTCGATGTACACATGCACGCTATTATTTTCATTGCCTCAGCCCGCGTTTTCCCGCACAAAAGAGAGGCGAGAAAGATATCGCTTATCCGCGTCAACAAAGCCTTTATGTGATGCTCCAGCGACATAGCCACCACGTGTATTTACCGATCTACATTTTAATACGTGCAGGCAATTGCGTGAGATGCATAATACAAGGACAAACAAGCCATTCGAACGCTAAAATATGTCTTGGATTCTCTGGCTCGCACTACTGTGAATTTTTTTATCGCAATTTTAAAGGAGGGCATGGATAAAAAATTGAGCTCGTCTCTTCTTTTATTGATATTGAGTATATATACAAAGAATAAAACTCTTTCTTTTATTTCATCATTGTTCCAAGTTGGAATAAAACAATTTTTAATTAAACTGTCATTAATAAAGGGTTGTATCGTGTTGAACGAAAAAAAAAAAAAAAATAAAGTTAAATAAAGTAGGTTGTCCTGATAGAGCTCACGATCAACAAGTGTTCAATTTCATACATAAAATTATGATCTTGCTTTTGTGTAAGAACCGAATGACACGACAAAGTTAAAGGACGGCCGCCTATAGCATGCATATATATACATACGTTGGCTTTTTCATTAAAATCTAGTTCAGCAGATTAAAGTGTGCGTTATTTTACAAACCAAATTTTTGTCCCATAAATCCCAACGTTCGAAAATGAACCCATGCCTTCAGTGTACCTACCTATACACATCACTGCTGCTTGGCCCAAAACAACACGTTTTTTTGTCTTTGCTCTAGTTAATCAATTTAAAACTGAATATTATTTTAATTGGCCAGAGTATATTAGTAACGGAGAAAAAAAAAGACAATCGAGAAGAGTAAGTAGTAAATACAATCAAATCCAATACGATAAATACAATAAAAAAAAAAAAAGAAAAAAAAGAACCAGTATGCTTACATATACTTAGATTATGACTCCCCCCTTGCTCTACACTTAACTCTCACTCTTTGTGCTTACATCCAAGCTGTACCTACATAACATCTCTACCGTATTACTTGTGTGTAACATGTATAATACTGAGTCACGGGCCACCGCGGACTTTGACCGTGCGCTCTCTCTCTCTCTCTCTCTGCTGCTGTTGTACTTTATTTAATTAGAACTTATCACTTTTGTTGTGTACAAAATGCCTCGTCGGTACTTCATAAGTATAGGGTTTTGGTATACATGTCATGTACGGTATCATCCACGTGCTACAGTGGATGCCAGGCTCACGCGCTTACGCTCTAAAAATCAGTAAATTAAATATTGAATAATTTTGTCAGTCAACATTTTTTTTGCTGCGCGATTAGTAGAATCATCTCGATTACTAGTTACATTTATGATTTTTTACTAATTCAGGCAATGCCTGTTTATTTTGCCACCCAACGACATTTTTTCAACGAGTGAATGTACGTTTAAGTATTTATTTTGAGGTAAAAATTTTTTACTGGTGCAAATAAAAATAATAGACTGATTGTATTCACCGTCTCTCTTTTTTTTGTGTTTCGTTCGTTTTTCTTTTTCATTGTTACTCCACAATATGTATGTATATGTTAAGTAACTGATTATTCAGAAACATAGTTTCCATCAACTCAATCAATGAAACTGGAGAATTCAACAACTTACCGAAAGATATAGAGAGAACAAAATAAGAGGTTTTATTATTAAAGTGCCTCCTGCTAAATGTAGAAAAATAACAAATATTTAAATAAATTTTTTTTACGTACATTCCACTCAGGGGGGTCACTTTGAAGAGCTTTTTTGTGTAGGAGAACGAAATAGAGGTGCTACCAGATTGGTTGTTTATTTTATTGTTTACAACGGAAAAAAACAGGATTGAGTTTTTTTATAGTGAGCTGTTTCTATAAACCGATATACATTCCTGAACATTTCTGGGCAACATACGCAACGTTAATTCAGTATTGATTAATTTTCAGAATAATCTCCATTTTTTAAATAGATGTGTTATCTGTTCTAATACATAAATATTGTCAAGTCCAAAAATTTTACTTTGCTATTTTCCTATTATCAACAAAATCAAATAAACTATTGATTTATAAAAAATATACTGAATTATAATTAATTTTGACATTTTAATGTACGCAAAGTAATGAACCAGTTGATCCTCTGTATTTAATGTAAAAAAATAAAGAAATTTTCAGATAAAATTGTGTTAAGAAAAATTATGTTGCAGTCATTTAAATTTCGTTGTATGAATACATAATTTATCTGAACTACATTATTTTAATAAATAAATACTGATAAGCAGAAAATCAGGATGATTATTTATTTTTTTTAATAACCATGTGGGAATGCAATTATTCTATTTTATTTTTTTAAATAATTGCAAGTTAAGTGATTATTTTTGGTATAAATATTATTAGCTTTGGTCAAGAAACATTTGATTTGGAGCAAGCACACTAAGAAAAATCAGAGAAAACTATTGACCTGATTTTCATGAAAACACAAAAAAGTAAAACAAGTGTTGAAAATATACAAATATCCTAGTTTTCAATGTTTGAACTACTCAACGGAACACTTTCTCTTTGAGGGGGCCAAAATTATCATAAAATTATTTTTCACTATATTTCATTATTACTACGTGCATTTAATATTTAACGGCGCAGTATAAGCATGTTGAGGCCTAGAACGATGCTGATGCCTTTTAGCTTAATGTCTTAGTCATCATCGTACAGTTTACCTCAAATCTTTGATCGCACTCGGCTGATTCACAAAAACCGGCTTTCTACGTTGCCCCAACCGATCAATTTACTACAGAAAAATATTGTGATAAATTATCGACCAGATGTTTTTGTCGTTCCATAAGTACAGTTCGCAGATTCATCAACAAAAAGTATGGAGTGACGTTCAAAATAATTTTTACTTGACTAGACATTTGATGCAATTTTGAAGTATTAATCACTACCAGCAGGTGCGTCGAAGTATGAATTTTTTTTTTTTTTTTTGTTTTCTCCAGGAAAACAGCCAACTCTGTTATTTAGTTTTAAAACCTTTTTTGATCGAAGCGAACAACATCAGCTAATTTTCCAAAGAAACGATAAAAAATATACAATGTTGTCTAAAAACACGCGAGTAATTGTAACCGGTGGAAACGCTGTTGAAATGCATATATAATTACAAAACGCAAAGTTGATAATAATATGCTACGTATGACACTCTCGACTTTTTTTGTTCTTAAAAAAGTATTAAACAGATCAACGAGTCACGCATCAAGGTGTATAAAGCAAGAGAACAGCCTCCATCGAGCTGATCGTGATATACAAGTATAAGTGGACGCAACGACAATAATCAAAAAATCTCAAGATAATGGAGGTGTTGATACACGAGGCGAGCAGCGCTTCCCTGGAAAATGGCCATTCCCATCATTATCATCGCCACGATCAGAGCGAGACGCCCGTGTTGTCGCACACGAGTACAGCCACGGTCGTGCAACTGCCCTCGTGTTGTTTGAAGAACAGACCGCCACCGATCGTCATACCGTGCCAGAACAACTGCGCGTCACAGCAGACACCGGTTTTCGTGGCTGAAAATAATGACACGCCGAACGGCTCGTCGAACGGTACGCCGTTTTCCATGACCAAGACTGACACTATGGATCTTATCTTTGAGAATATCACGTACACGGTGTCCATGGGCTGGAGGAAAGGTGAGGGACAACTTGCCGATTGCGATCGTGATAATTATATTATGTATAATAATCTTGATGGACATTGCACCTGATTTTGGTCATAAAGTTCAGTTGGCCATTACGTTGCTCGGAGAGGTGACATGCTTCATTGAATTTCAAATAAAGATATCGAGGCTGAAAGAAAATGGTCTTTTCATTGCCATTGGTCATTGACCTAATTGATATCTAATATGCAATCAAAGAGTTGTTGTTGATTGATTGTGTAACCATTATTGGCACATATTTTCACTTTACAAATTTATATTAATTTCTTAAATTAATTTTACGCAAATGAAATCGGTATCGATTGGAAAAAAATTTACGTGATTTTACGTATGGTCCACAGTTTTAAGACATATCTATTGACCTCAATATTGAAACAACATGCCAAATAAATTTAATCGTTGATCAAAACAATTTTCAAATTGGAGTTAATTTTAATCGATCGATTGGTATTCCAATTAACTAAAAATTAATTTCAATACCAATCAATCACCAATAAAACACAGTTGTCAAAAAAGTACTTATTTCAAATAAGACGACACGTATAATATTATTCTCTTGATTTTAATAAATTTTGAATAGTAAATTTTTTATTTCAGTTTCAATTGTTTACTTGCAAATTAAAATATTTGATAGCCTTGGTGTACGAAATACATTAAATTTAACGTAAAAAATAGATTGAGACGAAAATTGCAATAATCTTAATGAATTGTTGAATCACACACAGGCCAGAAAGAAATTCTCCACGGATTAAACGGCCGTCTACCGTCGAAGCAGCTCATAGCGTTAATGGGCCCGTCCGGAGCCGGAAAATCGACTCTCCTCGACGTACTCTCGGGCTATCGCATAACCGGCGTCCAGGGCGTTGTTTACGTGAACGGCCGCGTTCGCAACCTCGACAGTTTCCGCAGGTAATCATCCATTATTTTCGAAACGAAACCGAAAGTAACGATAATATAAATTTAATTTAATTAATAATGAAAGATTAAATAACAATTACGCATGCAACGATATGTTTGATGCTACAGGCATAGCGCCTACATCACCCAGGACGATAGACTGCAGCTTTTGCTAACTGTACTGGAAAACATGCGCGTAGCCGCGGATCTTAAGCTCGGCACCGATACGCCAAAACACGTCAAAGAAACAGTCGTGAGTGCATTACATCATGTACATAGTGATCTTACTTTTTTTTTTTTTTTTTTCCCCACAGAGATGTGTCGTCATTTACGCATATGAATCAATTCTGGTTTTTTTATTCGATTTTTAATAGAATACGCATCTTTCCGTGTTATGCAGGCGTAACAGGAATCTGCCGACTTGATGATCATTTGCATGGATAACATTCTTTAGAAAAAAATATATATATATCTGTACCTGTACCTGCCGCAGCGCGCATTAGCATATATATACCTGATTATCCAAGTGTTTTTTGTTCGATAATAGTTGATTGTATACTTTAATTCCCGACGATGACTTTGTTTATCCGTTGATTTGTCGAAAGAATTCGTTGAACTCGTTATAACGCAGTGCAGCTTCGATAACGTATGATACTTATTCGTGGAAATATAGTTGTGGGGTTGGAAACGGGGACCGCTAAACTGACAAGCATCAACAAGATGATGATTAAAAATCTACTCATACGTTTAATGCTCTATTTAGTATGATTGTTTTTTTTATTTTTTTTTATTTTTCAACTGTGCACATTTGTTTTCGATTAAATATCCAAAAGCGAACAATACTAAAAAATGGTTAAAAAATATCAATGAATAATAGCGGAAGATGATGAATATTTCGTTGTGTTCTAGTAAAATAAATTTTTGTAATGCCTATTTACTAATTAGATAATCTCACATTGTATTAATAATTGTTTTATTTGATAAAATTAAACATTAACGCATACTACCTAAAATAAATAAAAACTTTGCTATACTATGGTAGTCTGCATCGGCCAGTGGACAATGAATGTTAACGTGGCATAAATTAGAAATTTATAAGACGTACGTGTCCTGATCCACTTAAAATTACGATAATGTTATCCTTGCAGTTGTAAGCTTATAAAATTGTAGATAGACATATAATAATTAATAATGGACCATAAGAGCGTGAAAATGTCGAGTTATTCGTGTTTGCAGATCGAAGAGATATTGTCGACCCTTGGACTCTATGAGCACATGTACACTATGGCAGGTCGGCTTAGCGGAGGCCAAAGGAAACGGCTGTCTATTGCTTTGGAACTTGTTAACAACCCCACCGTACTCTTCTTGGACGAGCCCACAACGTGAGTAGTATGCTTTCTTATTTTTTGTCGAAAAAATTGATTATGCGGATAACTGCTTCATTAGTATATTTACTTTTTCTTTACATATGGATATGTTGTGCATAAAAATAATATAAGTAGCTCGACGTCGAATTAACGTGGATGATACGGGAATTTTTTAATTAATTCTTTTTTTTTCAGTTATGTGATTTTATTAACGCTCCAACATGAATTTTATGTTGTACAGTACATAGCTTGAGGATAATTTTAAATTTTTATATGTTTTACTCCAGCAAGTTATTTTCTGTACGATACATAGCGGGTCCGTTATTTCCTTAATTCTATTTTTTAAATTTATATATACTGACTAAAAAGTCTTCATTGTAGCCTAAAATAAAATGACTGGTGCATTTCGATTTTTCATTTAAATAACATGAAACTTTAAAAAACCTTTGAATATCATTTTTTTATGCCCTCTGATTTCTAATCCCCTTAAAAATCATCAAACCATACTACGTAGAGTACGAACTGTCTAATGATATTTTATTAGACTGTTTTTAAGTAAAAATATTTTTTTATGATAATACCACAATTTTTTTTGCTATTTTTATAAAATTGTAGTTTTGTACTAAAAATTATCTAGGGTTTAAAGCTATAATGAAGAGATTATATAGTATTAACAGTTTTAAATATTCAACAAAAAATCTTTATTGCTGCAGAGGTCTGGACAGTTCTTCGTGCACGCAGGTGGTGAACCTGTTAAAAGTACTTGCTCGTCAGGGCCGAACTATAATTTGCACCATCCACCAACCCAGTGCCACAATGTTCCAGTTATTCGATCAAGTAAGTTGAACATTTTTTTTTTCATCGACATCATTGTTGTCATTATTTGGTAACGTGTCGACAATGCATATGAACAAAGCTGTATTTGTATATGAAAAGCAATGTGAAATAACGCGTGTTTTTTTTTCTTACGAGCGATACGCGAGAGAGACTATAATGATACCTTTGTTACTACTATTGTTTTCCGTGCTGTGTGTTTTTGTGCTCGTATATTGCAAGGGTACAAGCGCTTGCTTCGATTAATGTTTATTGACCTCCTTTATTTACATTCTAGAAGACTCAGATTTATATTTAATATGATTCGGCCTGACCATCAACAACTAATTTATCTTTCGCTGTTGTACAAAAACTCTCTCTGTAAATAATCGCCCAAAAACCATATTATCTCGTCATGTGAAATGAAACTGAAGTATAAAATTGTTATTTGTTTCCTTCTTTTTTTTTTTTTTTTTTTACAGGTTTATGTGCTGTCAAACGGCGAGTGCCTTTACCAGGGTGCTACGCACAATTTACTGCCTTACCTCGAGAGCGTCAAGCTTCCATGCCCTATGTATCACAATCCCGCTGACTATGGTAATTATTACCAGATTCGTGAATTTTTCATTTTTTTTGAAAATCAAATGATTTCGATTAGCTCGTATTGGCAAGAGTAACGGTCAAAGTTCAAATTTTTTGTTTTTTTGCAGTCATCGAATTGGCATGTGGCGAATACGGAGAAGACAAGATCGAGCCTTTAGTCCAGGGATCCCAAAACGGCAAGAACCTCAAGTGGTTCGATAATCCAAGCGCTCTGTTGGACACGAAGTCTCTAAGAGGTATAGTTGGAACGCGATGTAAAGTTAAAGCAATAACAATACGCATACGCATGATTGTTGAATCTCGAAACTGTGGCCAACGTTTTTGAGTGACGGTTGTATCGTTTGAATTTTCTCAAGAGGAGAATTTTTTCAAATTTCTAGCTCTCAATCCGTTGAAGGAAAAAAATGGCAATACTCAGGGCCACCAGCCGACGTCGCAGTTGCACCAGATGTCCGTTCTGATGAGGAGATGTTGCATCAAAGTAAAACGTGACACTGTAAGTTTTTACGCAAATATTTCTGCAGACTTGGGTCGACAATTTTTTGCAATATTGACAGCTAAAAATGTAACGCATGCCAAACAAAATTTTTTTTTCCACCATTAAAAACGTACTTATTAAAATTATAAGAAACAATAATTTACCGTTAATAATGGTCAAAATGTTCGAAAAACTTTAAACTAAAATTTAAAAAAAAAAAAAAAGGAACTTTATTAAGTAAAAAAAAAAAAAACCATCAAAGAATTGTTCCCAAGTCTATTCACACATGTGGTATGCAATTATCAAAAGCACGTGTGAATGAGGATTAATTTGATTTCAGACATTGACACACATGCGAATCATAGTTAACGTATGCACTGGCATAATGCTGGGTTTATTATTCATCAAAGCCGGAAACGACGCTAATCGAGTACTCGAGAATTACAACCTATTGTTTGCCTGTCTAATGCACCACATGATGACCACAATGATGTTGACCGTGTTGACGTGTGAGTTTTAACATTTGGATATTGAATATTGCAATATATATATATATTAACACCCACACGTTAAATTGAATGGGCACTATATTCTGTAGTTCCTACGGAGATGAGCGTCCTGCAAAAAGAGCACTTCAACAGGTGGTACAGTTTAAAGGCGTACTACCTGTCGGTGTCGATAGTGGATATTCCAGTGATGTTTATCAGTTGTCTGCTCTTCAGTTCAATAGTCTACTTCATGTCGGATCAACCAGTCGACCCGTGGGCCAGGTTCTCGATGTTCTTCAGCATCAGTCTCCTCGTGGCAGCTGTAGCCCAGAGCTTTGGCCTGATGATCGGTTCCGTTTGCAACGTTGTGGTACGTGGCCTATCCAATACAGTATTTTGTTTTTTTTTTTTTTTTTTTTGGTAACGTAATTGTTGATCGAGCTGGTTTTCTTTGTTTCGCAGAACGGAACATTCTTGGCGCCAACGCTGTCGGTGCCGATGATGATGTTCGCCGGTTTTGGAGTCAGTCTCAGGGATCTTCCCAGCTACCTAAAATGGGGCTCCTACATCAGTTATCTGCGATATGGACTCGAAGGGTGGGCTTATCGATAGTTTCTATATTTGCCAGAAATTCACATGGGTATTTTTTTTTTTTTTTTCCAAATTAACCAATGACTGTTTCCCCCTTGCAGTTACGTTAACGCGATTTACGGTCTGGACAGAAAGCCACTGGATTGCGTGAACGAAGACTTCGACTTTTGCTTGTTCAAGAAGACGAAAAAATTCGTGTCCGACGTAACGAGTATGCGCGATGACCAGTTCTGGAACGACATAGCCGCTCTTGCCTGCATTTTGGTCATCCTGAGGTTCGCTGCGTATTTCTTTTTGCGCTGGCGACTCATGTCCTCGAGATAAAAAACAAGGCGCCGAAAAGCACATTTGGGCGACTAATCATGTGGACATGTGCGAAAATCGTGCATTTGCATTCCGAATTTATGTCTATTGGCTGTGTCATGACAGGCTCTGGAGATCTATCGCATACATTGCCTGCGTACGAGATACTTATATATCGCGTGCCAATGTGTTTGAATAGTGTTGAAATAGAGTTTAAATGGTACTTTCCTACAATTACGTAGGTATCTTTTTTACTATGTCGTTATTATCAGTACATTACGTAAATAATATCAGGACTGGTTACGCTGGACTTTCCTTTAAAATCTCGACATGTAGAACTATTTCATTTTAATGTCTTGTGGAGAACAAATATGAATGTGTGAGGATCACCCACCTTTGATATTAATAAGCTTAATTAATATTAACATAATTAAAGTTTCGATGTTCAATGCAATGCTGACAGAACCAATGCAATATAATTATGAGTTTGCCCATTTCGTGTTGTTTCATCTTGTTATAAAAATTATTAATATTATTAAATTTT